CTTGTCCACTGTAACCCCAGGTCCTTTTCCGCAGAACTGGTGCCTAGTCATTTGGTCCCTAGTCTGTAGCAATGCATGGGATTCTTTCTTCCTAAGTGCAGGACTCTGCACTTTTCCAGGTTGAACCTGATCAGATTTCTTTTGGCCCAATCCTCTAATGTGTCGAGGTCCCTCTGCATCCTATCCCTACCCTCCAGCGCATCTACCACTCCTCCCAGTTTAGTGTCATCTGCAAACTTGCTGAGGGTGCAGTCCATGCCACCCTCCAGATCATTAGTGCCTCTCTATGCTAAAGTAAGGAATGTCAGATTCTGTAGGCCAGGTAGCTAATACATTCTTACCTTGTTTTGAAAAGGCTGCCTGGCATTACTGCAAATACTCACTGAGAGCATTGTTCCCTGAAGGAGTAAAGAACAAACCTCCCACTGGAGTCTGGCTCTGCTGGACTTACTACAGGGAGCCATGGAAAATGACTGGGATTGCTGGCACCCAAAGGCCTAGTTTTGGAGGCCACGGATCTGCCCCCATGGAACTATGTAGGTCCTTGGGGCCCAGCACCCTACAGGGATCTCTCCAAAGGGACTGGTTACAGGCTGCTGCATAGACCAGACCCTGTGAATCCATGACACCCTGCCCCAGGGCATTGAGAAGCCACTCAGACTCCAGACTCCCAGATGCCTCCTACAGGGCATCAAAGGATGAGACTAGAATAGAAAAAATCAGTGCCAGGATAAATCCAGGGTAACTCCAATAAAAGTAAACCAATGGAGTCATTCCAAATTTACACCAGTGTAACTGAGATTAGGGTCAGACTCATACAAAGGTGCTTAGACTCCTTTATTTAGTAATCTCTCTCTCTCTCTGTTGTTTATTGCCATATCTTAGATTTTAAACAAGTTTTATTCATCTTCTCTCAAGTGTTTTTCCTCCTTGGACTGTTCTGGTTTCTAACACCAGCAAGTGCCCAGAGGAGAAACAGAACTGGTAAGTTCTCCGGTTAGTGAAAGATAATGCCATGTGTAAAGTTTCTGTGCCCATAATAAGTGAGTCCCATATAGAGTGTCTGCAATGAAGCTGGTATTGGCTTGGCAGCTCTCAGCAGCATTATCTGGACTCTAATGTGGGGGTTCGTTGCATCTGGGTCATGAGGAGTAGCGGAATGCCCAAAGGGGTGGATACACCTCAGGTTCTAAACAGGCCGTGAAGGGAAATCTCAAACTTTTGAGAAGAGGAAAGATTGGGTGTCAGGGATAATTCCTCCTTCTCTGTGTTCCTTTATTCATTCACTCCCTCTTTCTCCCTCTGTCACTCCTTAGGGTATTCTAGTTTTAGTCAGCTCATACTCTGTCCCATGGCGGAGAAGAACCTCTTTCTGCTGCCATGTCCCACTGAGAGGTCTTTTAATAGTGTCAATAGGCCATACTGAAAAGCCAGAGGTGGGCCCAGAAAGTGTTAGCTGGAGATTTCCTATACTGGACTGCAGTTCCTGGAGGTCTGTCAGAAAGGAGCGAGGGAGAATGAAGTAGCAGTAACTCTGGGTCTGTCCTTTTGACAGTTTCCCCTTTAAGAAGCTGTTAGTATTACAGGATTGCAAATGAAAATTGAGATCACGATCAATTTCATGTAGAAACTAGAAGCACTGGGAAATCATAAAAATGGAGCTAAATCCTGAGAGGCATTGAGGACCGGCCGCCAGGGCCAGCCCTAGATTAAATGGCATGCCCCCACCCCTCCAATTGTTAAACTTTTAAATACCTTATTTTTTATTGCATTTGTAGCCCATTTCATTACTTTTATGCATGATTTGTATGCATGATTTATCCCTGTCTCATAAGACTAGCTGGTGATACTAGGGTTGCCAGGCGTTTGGTTTTTGACTGGAACGCCCAGTCTAAAAGGGACCCTGGCGGCTCTCCGCAGCACCGCTGACCGGGCTATTAAAAGTTCGGTTGGCACCAAAGTGGGGCTAAGGCAGGCTCCCTGCCTGCCCTGGCTCTGCGCAGCTCCCCGGAAGCAGCCAACATATCCGGCCCCTAGATGCAGTGGCGATCAGCGAAGCTCTGAGTGCTGCCACCACTCCCAGCACCAGCTCCACAGCTCCCATTGGCCGGGAACTGTGGCTGATGGGAGCTCTGGGGGTGGCAGCTGCGGGAATCGTGCAAAGCCACCTGGCTGCATCTCTGCCTAGGGCCCGAACATTCCGTCCACTTCCGGGAGCTGCTCGGAGCCAGGGCAGGCAGAAACTGGGAGCTCAGGCACCAATGGGGAGCTGCCTGAGGTAAGTGCCTCCCAGCCAGAGCCCCCACGCTGAACCCCCTATCCCAGGTTTTACCTATCCTATCCTGTACCCTATCCTGTACCCAAGCCCCCTGCCCCAGCCCGCATCCCCTTTTGCACCCCTATGTCCTGCTCCAGCCCTGATCCTTCTCCTTCACTCCAAACCCTTTGGTGCCAGCCTGGAGCAGGCCAGGAAGAGGTAGTGTAGGAAGCCAGCAATGACAGCACACACCACCTGGTGGAGACAGAGAGCCCATGGACACTGCGGGGAAATGCTGAGTATGGGGGAGACCTGCCTGGGGGGGTCACAGCGGGATTCTTGTTAGCACAGCCCTCCAATTATAGCGCTCCGTGACCCAGAGATGGCAGGTTCCTCGGTCTATGGAAGGTCCTGCGGCTGCACATTGCTGATGCAGGAAAGGAGCAGCGATTAGTGGTTAGAGCACAGGAGCAGGGCTCAGGGGATCCTGGTTCTGTTCCCAGCCCTGCCACAGATTCTCTGGCTGATAGTGGGCACGTTACTTAGTCTCCCTATGCCTCAATTCCTCTCCTGTGACATAGGGATAGAACAGGCCACACTCCTGGGGATGCAGAGGCTGAGGCCAACTGTGCCTAGTGTGAAGAGGCCTAACAGGGGATGGAAACATCCCCCCCGGGAACCTCCCTGTGTCCTGCACAGCTCAGAATCCAGGGAGAACAAGGGGTACAAAGCCACACGCCCCAGCCCTGCTGTGAATGGAGGAACAGAGTAGGGGAGAATCAGGCCGTACCTGACTGCGGGTGCGGGTCACCGGGGTGAGGAAGATCAGGTCGGCCAGGAAGAGGCAGAGGCAAAGCTGCAGGTGGAGGGAGGTGTTGACGTTGCAGATGGAACAGCACAGGAGGAAGGTGAGGATGGTGAGGAAGAGGCACAGCAGGGAAAGGCTCATTCCCACATAGGTGATGACAGTCAGTAGGTTACTCTCCTGTACCACAGCAAAGGAAGAATCACCAGTGACCCCAGTCCAGCCCCCTCAGCCCTGAGATCCTGAGGTTCCTACTCAGACTTTGCCCCACCAAAGCCACCAATGGCTCAGGGTCCAGCCCTTTGAGCTGAGTCTGAGAGTGAGACACCTCCACTGCGGTGGGACTCATAAGGAGAGCGAAGCTGGGGAGACGGTCACAGCTGCAGGTGGTGTGAGTGCTCTTTGTGTGCAGAGCGGTGTAGCCAGCTGGAGACCAGGTGCCTTTCCCAGCGATGAATTTCCAGTGGATGCAGAGAGCCTCTTCCTTGGCTGTCTCTGCCTGGAAACACAATAGCACCATCATCATCCTCACAAGATCACTGTTGTTTCTGTTATTGTGTGTATATCCCATGCAGTAACAAACCCAAAGGCACGTAGTGCCCCATGGCTCTCCCCATGCAGCACCCAGTGCCCATGGGTCATTTTATGAAGACAGTGGAGAGAGAACTTAGAGCTCAGAGCTACCTGAGAGCCCTTGTTATCTAGCAGCACTACAGGGCATGTGGCACAAGGCTGAGCTGTTCTCATTCCATCCAACAGAGTGCAGAGAACATAAGAACATATAACATAAGAACATAAGAAAGGCCGTACCAGGTCAGACCAAAGGTCCATCTAGCCCAGTATCTTGTCTACCGACAGTGGCCAATGCCAGGTGCCCCAGAGGGAGTGAACCTAATAGACAATGATCAAGTGATCTCTCTCCTGCCATCCATCTTCATCCTCTGACAGACAGAGGCTAGGGA